AAATACGAGAGAAACCCTAAAAATCATGGGGTTGGGCTGCAGCAGCCACCACGTCGTGACATCCTACGTGCCACGTTGTGGTGTTCATCAGAACACGCGATCCATTCGTGCTATGCCACGTCGTGGACTTCCATGCACCACGTCGTGACATAAGGTTTTCTCCAAAAACCTTATCTTTGGCCCCACTAAATATTCGACCGATTCATTTTGGAAAACGGGTGTTACACCGGTTCATAATGGTTTAATTAGAAGGTAATTCCTAACATTAACGACTAATTGCGCAAAAAAAATACTTTAGTGTAAATTAGTAAATTCACCAAACTTCGTTGTGCCATCCTAGCATTTTCCCTGTATTTAATGATATGATGTTTTGTTTATTGTCTTTTTTTGCTCATATTATTTTTTTCAATGTTTCTTCAATTAAAATTAAACTTTTCTTTCTTTAAAAAATATTTTTTCTCGAAATTTTCAATAAATTTAATATGCAAATGCAAAATGAAATTTATGTACTGTGTTTATACCAAAACATATGAAACGGATAATGTACGAGTATCAATGCGTAAAAGATGAAAATGACTAGTTTGTTCTTTCATGCAATCTTCCAACTTGTTATTCGTATTCAAGCACCAAGTTGATCCATTAAACCACCTCCTTTTTTACCCCTAGAATTGCAAAAATATTATTGAAACGATGAAAAACATTTAGTTATATAAAAGTTGATTGATCTGATCATAAGAAAAAAAAATAGTATATATATAGTTATGACAAAACTGCAAAAAAAAAAAAAAAAAAGTCCCTTTGATTTGCATTTTTTCAAGGAAAAAGTTTCAAATAACTAAATTTTGGAATAATGGTCTTTTTAGCAAGTTTGGTTATAATTTCAAATAACTAAAATTTTAGAATAGTGGTTCTTTTCAGCAGGTTTTGTTATAATTTTGGTTCATGTCTAAACTAAAAATACTATTATATCCTTTCTATTTTTATGGATTTTTTTAAAATATTTTTATAATTATTTAATAGATATTAAAATAATATCTCTCTCTCTCTCTCTCTCTCTCTCTCTCTCTCTCTCTAAAGTTGATGGATTGGATCTTAAAAACGATCCAGTGAGCTTCAAAAAGATGTCAGATGTTTTTTTAGGTAACATGTTTATTGTAATGTTTTTTTCACTTGGTATTCAATGATTTATGGGTTCTCAAAACGACACATGATGTTTTTACAATCTTCGCTACCGAGTTGTGCTTTTGAATGATATATGATCTCTTATTGTTATATATATATATATATATATATATATATATATATATATATAGATATAGATATATATATTATATATATATAGAGGTAAGTTCAATTGAGAAAATAAAAAAGGTTAAGAATGGGGGAATCATTCTCAGCCACTCATTTAATCTAAGCATAAAAAGACACGGTGGCAAACTTGTAAATATGATAATAACCTTCAATCTCAAATACGTAACATCGATTTCTTTGTTGAATACTCCGAATTAGAATTTCCCAGATTCGCAAACGAACTCAGTTGGAATCAGAATTTCTTCGCTGTTCATGAATTTGGAATCAGAGTTCTGGACTCGCAGTTACAGTCGACACTGAAAGACTCGGAATCGGTACTCACAGTTCCCAATCAGATTTTCGGAAATCAAAATCAAAATGTGAAATCGATCAGACATAGGATGTCGCATCTGAAGTCAGAAGCATTTGAAATTGGAACATATATTCTAATCGGAACAGTTCGCGTCTTGATTATCGGTATTACAAAGAAATCAGGAATCAGGATTTCAAGGTTTCAAAATTGAAATCGGAATTTTTGTTGGAATGAAATCAAAATCGGAATTGCACGCTTCAAAGTCGAAATCGGAAGTATATGATGATTTGGAATTGATAACTTGAATCGGAAGTATCATGTTTTTAACATTTTTAAAAAAGTTAACTTGTACGCACTCCAACTGTTTGATGAAATGCATAAACTAAATTACCACGTTATATTCACTTATGAATAAAAAGTATGATTAATTTTATTTTTTACAATTTAAGTATCATTCATATATGAATATAACATATAATAAACATAATATATCCATATGAACCATTTTTGTAGTTTTGTCTATATTTATTTATTTTATTGATTAGGGTAATAGTGTTATGTTTATAGCAAATAAATATTAATGTAAGAAATTTGTTTTTTATATATAAGTAAAATTTATTGATAATATGATAAAATCGATACTTAATAGACTGTTGCTAATTATATTAGTGAGTGTGATTAAAAAAGCAGAAAATTGTTCAGTTATAAATAGTCAGCGAAGGTAATTGGCAATAGAACCGTGCCAGAAGCCACCTGATTCCAAGATTCACGACAAATTTCCAAATACGTAATAAAAAAAAAGATCTGATCTTACTGTTGGAACGAGAGATTGACATTTAGAGATACTTTCATGTTGTTGATATAGTAAAACCAGATCTGTCATCAAATTTTATTTTTGTACAAATGTGTTCATGAGATTTAAATATATCTATTTGCATGAAAAGAATATTGATCGGATAATAGCATGATGCTACATTTTAATTGTGACCACTGATTTAGTCATTGGGGGAGTTTTCTTTTGGTACATGTTTAATGCAATTTGGAAGATAGTATCATTATGGATAAGAATGATCTGATCCTACTGTTATACTTATGCATTCATTATATTGGTGATTAGATTTCATTATCATAGTTATATTTGTATTGAAATTAGATTTTTAAGATAGCATCATAACAACAATTTTTTTATATTTTAAAAGTGAAGTGGGGCACAACCTTCAAACATCATGTGCCGCTACTTTTAGCAGAATTTTAAAAATCTAAACTATCTGTCTGTTCAAAGGTTATTGTCATAAATTTTATCAAACTTGATATCAAACTATTTTCTTTTATCGTATTTAGATTGTACTTTGTGACACTTGTTCATCCTACAATCGTAACAACATTTTAGTTTTTAATAGATTTTCTATAACTTATAACAGGAAAAATATATGACGGGTTTAAAGTTTTTTCAGGGAATAATAATAAATTTCATTTTTGGTTGTTGCTTGTTTCGTTTTTGGGTAGATTCTTATACCTATTTTACTTTTCTCCATCCTGAATAATATATTTTTATGTTTCTTTTAGAATGGTAAATATACGTACGGAATTAACCCATCACCTCATTGTTATAATACCTTGTTAGTCAAATGGGCTAGTCCCAACCTGTAATAACATGTTTGTATTTGTATGTATTTATGCAATGTAACATTTTATTTTATTTTTTAATCTTAAATTGTGTATTCAATTCCTTTTACAAAACTATCACTCTTTTTTAAAAGAAAAAAAGTACCTATTTTACAATTCCATAATATTTATGTTTCAACTTTAGAGTATCTAAATATACACCCAATATGTTTTCCTTAAAGTACGTTCGTGGATATCTTTTTTCCTATAAATGGGACAACTCACAACAATGAAATATTTTGATAGATAAAATTAATATATTTATTTCAACTATATCGCCATAGTTTTGTTAGGAGTATGTATCTTGTTAGAAATATCAAGTGGATCTGTGGATGTGTAGATATTTATATTATGATGAAAATAATATAAATTTTTAGAGAACCAAAACTATGTTTCGATTTTTCATTTTCCCAGATAACGATTGTTCGACATTTATTATTTTAATTTTCATTTAATTGTATCTAATGATTTTTAAATTTCAAGATATACAAAGCAAATAATTTTTTGTTTAAAATAGGATATAGTGGTCATATCTATAACTTATAGCAGAGAAAATTTATTAACAATAAATAATCAAATATAAACTTATAAAATGTGTAGGTTAGAAACTTTAAAAAAAAAAAAAGAACTAATTGGACAAAAACGTAGATAATAAATGGTGCATGGCCATGGATTATAGTTATTATATTTGAGCACAAATATATTTAAAATAGAAATTAATAATCATCTTAAAGTAATCGTGTTATCTAAATTTTTCCTTTTGTTTAGTATAATATCGGTATTTGATTATTTGCTTAAAGTTCACATGATCTTAATCTAGTATCGCTCATCAATTTGGACAATGTTTGTACTTAAGGGTATGTCTGAAAAGCTACCTGATAGCTGAAAAGCTAGCTGATGAAAAATAACGTTTGGTAAAACTAGCTGAAAATCTAGCTGAAATATATAAAATTACATAAAAAGACATGTAAAAGTATGTGTTTCTATAATTAATTAAGGGGTGTATTTGGAAAATTTAAAAAAAAAACTCCTAAAAAGCTAGTCTAAGTAACTTTTCAAAACGTTAACTTATAAGCTACTTTTTGTCTTACCAAACACGACAACATAAAAAAGCTCGAAAAATAATCTAGCTTATCAGCTAATTGTGGCGCGCCAAAGACAGCCTAAGTGTTGAATTTAAAATGCTCTAATTGAATTACTTATGAATAAGAGTCAACTAATTATGTCTTTTTTACGAATTATACATATTTACAATATGATTTGTTCTGAATTTTAAACTTGTAGCGAAAAGTTTCTGAAAACTTTCAAAAAGAGCTTTGAATAACATTTTGGCAAAAGCAGTATACGTGTAAAACTCACCATAAAAACCTTTGTTTATGTGTGTAAGTTTAAAACGTATATTTTAAATTTAAAAATAAATTTATTTTAAAAGCTATCTTAAGTATAGTTATAATATTAGGCTGTCTTTAAAAAATTACGTATTTACTATTTATATACTATTTTATTTGTTTTTATAATATAAAAAATTATAACAATATATTGTCGATCACTTTTATATAACTACAAGTTACTTCCAACTCATTTCCCTTCTTTGATTACTAATCTAGAACATACGTTTTAAAAGATTTCAGAAGACATTGTCTAAAATAAGTTGACCAAATTTATGTTTTTGGGTTTGATTTGTTAAATATTAAATACATGTTTTGTTGGATATATACAGCCTAGTTGCCAACAAACTTTTGAATACTTATCGTATTCGTTCATGTAATATTCCCCCTTACAACTGTCTTCTTCTCTTTCACCAAAAACACGCATTTTCTCCTTCAAAAATCATTGCCTACAAAATCAAATTTGATTGATTCCAATTTTCATGAGATTTAACAAATCACCGGGAGCCAATTCCTCGCCGTTACTCCTTGAATAGCGGCTGTTCACGGAGGAGGAGAAGAATAATCCACCAGCGCCACCGATGGCCGGCGACGACTCCACCACCATTGTGTCGGAAATTCAGTCTCTTCTCCGCCTAGTCCGCGATGTAGCGCGAACCACTGCCACCGGATTCACAGGAGGCTTCAAGAAGGACTGTATAGACCTTTCTAGAAGAGTAGCTTTGTTGTCGTATTTATTGGAAGAAATTAGGGATTTTCAAGGTGATTTGATGCCGTTGGATATCGCATGTTCTTCTTCATCGTCTCCTTCTTCCTTATCTGAGCTAACCACCGCTCTTCAAGCTGCTAATCGATTGCTTCAATCTGCTGGAAGCTTCGATCACAATATTGCCGCTGTAAGTACATCCCCAATTTTGTCGATTCGATGGAGGAAATTTCAGCTAATAGATTCTAAGTTCGTAGTTTAGAAATTGAATGCGTCATAATTACGCTACATTTAACTTGTTTCTGTTTGACTGAATTTACAAAGTCTTTCGATTGAATTAGTCAAGCATATTATCGTATGAGCCTTCTAGTTTCTTTCTCCTGATAGTCTTTTAATTACTTGTGATTAAAGGAAGGAACAGCCGAGAAATTCGCATGTCAATTCCAAGGTGTCACATGGAAATTGGAAAAAGCGTTAGCTAACTTACCATATGATCATTTTGACATATCAGAAGAAGTTAAAGAACAAGTAAGATTCAAACATCAAACACTTGTTCATATACATATCTTGCAATGACATTATTCTCAATCCTTCTGTTTTTTAGGTTGATTTAGTAAGAGTTCAATTGAAAAGAGCAACAGAACGATATGGTGGACAACAAGATCCAATCCTATTATTGGCAACAGAGTCTGATTCTTTTCAAATAATCAACATTCATGATGATGATGATGGAGTTAAATCAAAAGTGGGAAGTTTTACAAATGAAAATCTTCCAAAAGATTTAGAGCTTGTAACTGAATCAACCCTATTAAAAACTACTCATGATGTACAAACTTCTCCTGTGATTCCAGTTGACTTCCTTTGCCCTATTTCACTAGAAATCATCAAAGATCCTGTCATCGTGTCCACAGGGCAGGTATGGCGTATCATAATTTCATAAAATTTCTCTTTTTCTTTTAAATTTATTTGCATCTAAATATATCTTTTTATATTATGTTACAGACTTATGAGAGATCCTACATACAAAGATGGATCAATGGCGGAAACACAACATGCCCAAAAACGCGCCAAAAACTTCGAAACCTAACTCTTACACCAAACTATGTCTTGAGAAATTTAATCACTCAATGGTGTACAATTCACAAAGTCGAACACTCAACTTTACTAACAAACAGAAGGTTAAAAGACAGCGATGGATCGTTTCTTGATGTAAGCATTGAATCAATCATTCATAGCCTCTCGAGTCAATCTATCGAAGAACGAAGGGCAGCATTGTCAAAAATCCGATGTTTATCAAAAAGAATCACAGAAAACCGAATGATTATCGCTGAATCAGGAGGGATTCCGATTCTCGTTGGGTTATTAACATCTGAAGATGTCACCACACAAGAACACGCAGTGACATCGATTTTAAACCTATCGATATACGACGACAACAGAGGATTAATAATGCTAGAAAACGCAGTACCTTCTCTTGTTCAACTTCTCAAATCCGGAACCATGGAAACACGAGAAAACGCCGCCGCGACGCTTTTCAGCTTATCGCTCTCCGACGAAAACAAGATCGTAATCGGCGGATCCGGTGCGATTCCGGCGTTGGTTGATTTACTTGAGAACGGGAGTAGAAGAGGGAAGAACGACGCTGCGACGGCGTTGTTTAATCTCTGTATTTATCAAGGAAATAAAGGGAGGGCGGTTAGGGCTGGGATTGTTTCGGTGCTGCTTAAAATGTTGACCGATTTGAATAGCGCCATGGTTGATGAAGCTTTGACTTTACTTTCGATTCTTGCTAGTCACAACGAAGCTAAATCGGCTATGGTGAGAGCTCATATTATTCCTAATTTGATTGATTTTGTAAAATCCGGGATTCCGAGAAACAAGGAGAATGCTGCTTCGATTTTGCTTTCGTTGTGTAAGCGAGACGATGAGAATATTGGGTGTGTGATCAGACTTGGGGCATTGACGCCATTGGTGGAGCTTGCTGATAATGGTAGTGAGCGAGGTAGACGAAAGGCTAACTTGTTGTTGGGACATATTGAAAGGTTTCGACAAAATCTGGAACATGTACAAGTACGCGTTGACTGACTTATTTATCTCATTTTTTATTTTTTTTACACGATTCTTTAGTTGAAGAAAAACCAAAGAGGTGAAGCAACTTCTTGTGCTTTTCTTTGTGTATTCTTGTTGGTCAATAGTTGATTTGATATTTGTTATTATTTGTTTGATATCGATTATAGAGGATAACATTTGTGTTTGTTTAAAAATTAATTAATACCCAAGTTTCTACTTTGTACACAGTTGATTGGTGTTGTTATGTTGTATATTAACCTAATCATAAATCATTAAATTATTATTAGGAATCAATTTCATCTTTCCATGTTTATTGACTTTATTCCCTCTCTCTACTCTACATTTTCATATGTGGAGATTTTTAACGTTGGAGGTGGACAAAAACCGGGCCTAATTAGGTCTTAACCTGTTTTAATTAGCCGTGGTTTTATTGTTTTAAGCCAAAATATTCTGTAACATTTTCGGATTCAAACTGGTTTTCAGAAAAAAAAATGTGGAACTGTTGTTAAACGATTTAAAATCAGTCTAAGAAAATCCAGTTTTAGCCGGTTTTTTGAAACATGCTTTCTATTCGGTAAAATATGGTTAATCCAGTCGGCTCGGATATATCCGCCCGGTTTACAAAAACTCGATTATTCCTCAAGCCAGTTTTGTGTTGTTTTCGGTTCAAATGCGGATAACTAATTTTATGTCTATCTCTAACTAATCATCGTGTAATTATTCGTAAGTCTTAAGTTATGTTTGAAAGATTATCTGAAAACAACACAAAACCATTTGATAAGCTAGCTGGGAATGTAAAACGATATAAAATGACATGTACGAAAATGATTCAATATTATAAGACAAATATGTAAATCAGAAAACTAAATTAAAGAAAATACTAAATAACATATACCCGATTATGTGTTTAAGTGAAATTTCGTGCATCCTATATCATATTTGTAATATTATCACAAATTTCTCGCATCTCATGTTGTGACTGTCGAATATTATTATTGACCAAATCTTAAATGATTATCTTGTTTTTCAGTAGGCATGTAATTATGTTGTTGAACAATGTTGAAATTCATATTTATCCAGTCATTTCTTCGAATATTGTATGAAGCGTAAATGTCGTCATTTTCCATCTTTGTTCAATATTTTCCAATTGGCATTCTATTCAATATTTTTCACCTCTTTTTTCAACACTCCCAACGAACGTTCAATTGAACTTCGAAGAAATGAATGTGCACGATTAAAAGCCTCTTGGACGTTGGTTGTAAGCACATGTTTAAACTGTGACCGATGATACATGAGATGTGGATATAGTGCTAAATATCCTTTTCGGTTAGGCTATCATTTGTCTACTATGTAATATTTTCCTATATGAATGGATGAGATTGATCTATATAGTAATACCAATATGTAAGTTCATGTGTGAATAGTTTCGATCAACTGAATGAAACAATAAAGAAAATCAAAAGAATACATACATGATGATGATAAACAAGACTTCAACGATGCCTGCTTTATACAAATTGCTACGATGTCGTGCTTCTCTAACATAAATCGATAACATTGATAATGCATCGCTTTATAGAAATTAATGGCGGGGGAAAAATATTCTTGCGATTTGGAGGTGAATTGGATCGGATATATAATGATTTGGGATAATCACGTTGCTCGTTGTTTGAGATTGTGCATATCTCTTAGCTATTTTTGAAGGACATAATTGGAAAAATATAAAAAGCTCCTTCAAACATTGGTTGGAGTATCTTATCAGCTATTTTTTGGCTTGACAAACATGACAATCCCAAAAAGCTCGAAAAATAATCTAGTTGTAGTGCGCTAAACACAGCCTCAATCATGCATAGTCCTAAAGAACCATAATCGATCGGTCGTAAAGAACCATAATCAACCGGCCACATGTACTTTTAACTGTTTTGTAAAGACAATTATCTAAAAAATAAATTTGTTAACAATTTTTTACTCAAATCAATTCTATATTTATTTATTTGATTATTTATGGATAAAGTTGGAGTAAGGAAATATTGATATTGTCCAGTTTTAGTCATTTTTTGTCAAACATGGTTGATGATGCGACATTTCTTTTTTCAATGATCGGAGTAGCTTATCATCTATTTTTTGGTTTGACAAACATGCCAATCCCAAACAAGTCGAAAAAAAAATTAGCTGGGGTGCGCTAAACACAGCGTCAGTTGTGCATAGTCCTAAAGAACCATAATCGATCGGCCACATGTACTTTTAACCGATTTTTAAAGACAATTATCAAGAAAATAAAGTTATGAACAAATGATTAATCAAATCAATTCTATATTTATTTATTTTATTATTTAAGGGAAAAGTTGGAGTAAGGAAATATTGATATAGTCCCATTTTAGTCCTTTTTTGTCCAACATGGTTGATGATGTGACATTTATATTTTCAATGATAAATTTGTTTTTCTTCTCGGTCATATTTATGCCAATCGTTTTTCTTTCCTATCTTATGACATTATCTAAATCTTAATTGATAAATTCATAGAAATGATCTATATTAAAAAAAGGTCGAGTTTTCAAACCATTTAAAGTACATTGCTATTACATATAATGTTATTAAAGTAAACTGCATTTAAAGTACAATGCATATATGTACAACACTATTAAAGTACATTGCTATTAAACTATACTAAATACAGTGCTCTGGAACTTTTGTGGTCTTAAATAACAAACATATAGAAAGTATATTGTTACATTAAGTGTCATATTAATTCAAAGTACTGAATTGCTATTAAAGTACAACTCCAAAAGTACCATATATATATATATATTCTCCTTAATTTCTTTAAAAATCATAATTGCCATCTTAATTTTGACAGGCACCATCATTTTTATCTTAGTTACATGTAACATTATCTATGTCATCAAAGTTTTGATAATTTTCTGGTTCGACATAATGAATTTGTCATTCTACTGACATTTGATGTGTAACTATCAACGTTTGATGTGGTATATAATATCCATGATCAACATAATAAATTTGTAGATACATGTAATGGTTTGTAGATACATGTAATGGTTTTCATAAACAACTTGTAGATTGAATTTGTTGTTGTATTGGTGTTCTGTATGCAACATATCCACCAACATTGTGATGATCATTTGCATATGTATGCATACCTACTTGATTGTTGCTACTTTTTCCGTTGCTCTATCGGTTTCCACCAGTAACATATCAATTTGCAACATTATATTGAACAATATATGTCTCTTCCACTTGATCATTCTCCACCAGATATAGATATACATGAGTTGAAACTTGTTGAATAATCTTTTTAAACATTTCACATCAGCTACCTGTATAACATACTTCAATATATGGTTTTGGTATGACATACTATATTAGGTCTGTCTTATAAACACGTCATATGTTTGACCAATTTGTATAGATATGGGAAATTCATCTCTAAGGGAATTTAATCATTGAAGTTTTTAACAAATGATTTAAAATATATTAATTCCATATTTTCTTACTGTCATGAACCAGTGATATAAAAAACAATAAAATACTCATCCAGAATGTTTGAACTCATGTTACCTTAACAAAAGCAGAAATGGTAAGTTGGAAAAAATTCCTGGTAAAATGATACTAAAATGGTATAAAAAGCTGGCTCTCAAAATTGGACAATAGGTTATGGAAAGTGTTTTGTTTCAAAACAATTTCTTATAAGATAGCATGTTCTACATTGTATAGATTTTTGTTGTACGGATTCTGATGTTTGCAATATGTTCTCTGATTTTAGTAGTCAATGTGATAAGACAATACATGTTTTTTTTTCTTCAGAAAATATAGTATTTTTTATAGATTTTTGCAAATGACGTTATTTTTCACAGATGACATATCTTTTCGTAGAGCACAAAACGACGACGTTTTGGTTTTTAAAAAAAATTGCAGGCCAGCTACATTTTCACAAATAGACATGTAAAAAAAGATGTATGTTTTGCGTATTTTTATGGTTTATGGCTATTTGATAGAAAAATCTTACAAACATTTGCATTTCTTGTCATTTTCTCTTATCCTTTTAAGTAATGACACAACATTTTTTTATAACATTGATATTTGGTATTTACTATGATTAAGTTAAATCCACAATATTTGAATGTACTGGAATTTAGGATGCACGGAGTGGACTCGACACACCCTCGACAAGGGACATGGACTCGAGGAATACCGGCCCCTGAACTCGGCATGCCGAGCTCGGAAAGGCAACTTGGCAATGGCAAGCCAAGTCTATTTCTTCTTCCTTTCTTCTTTCCTTTTTTTTTTCTCCCCACTCGACAACCCACCCCTCTCTTCTTCTTCTTCGGAGCTTCTTCCCCCATTTCTTCCTTGGTGGAGCTGATGTGGAGTTCGGCAAGTGCTGCACGATTCCCTTTAGCCTTATATATTCAAGAGTTAATTTAGAAGAATAACCATTAACAATTTAACCCCAAACGAAATACAAAATAAATTTATTTAAAATTCAAGCATGTAAAGTAAATTGTAAGTAATTATTGGAAAATTGGCAATTAAGTAAGAGGTACAAACTAAAAAGTCAAAAACTAACTTAAAAAAGGAAAGCCAACCTGTAGAAGAAAATAGAAATTATGGAAACGGCTTCAATGGAGGAAGGATCCTCGAAGTCGCCATGGCAAATCCTTGCCAAAATTCGCCTGAATAGATCATATTAAAATGAAGAAACCGCTTCATCGTTCTCGTTACAGAAAAACGAGCCAAAATGCTAAGGAGATTCAGAGAAACAGCGTGGAGGATTGGAGTCAGAAAATGTATGCGAATCCGAGATGAAGTTTTCAGTTTTTTCAGGTAGTAGAAATTCGAATGCGTATTACATTATAACTCTCTGTAATGCTCAAATGTTGATGACTGACTAATAGTATTTATTTTTGTTTAGTTCGGTTCCCATAGCCGCCGCCGACGTCGACTCCACCTCCACTGTGCAAGCAATCGAGTCTCTTCTCCGCTTAATCCGCGATGTAGCAGGTCTCTCCGCTACCGGATTCAAAGGAGCATTCAAGAAGGAGTGTACAGATCTTTCCAGAAGAGTCTCCTTGTTGTTGCATTTGTTCGAAGAAATTAGGGATTTTCTATGTGATCGTACACGTTTCGTATGACAGGTACTTTGTTAACGTTTCATTGTTCCTTACCTGAGCTAACGAAGACTCTTAAAGCTGCTACAAGATTGCTTCAGTCTGCAGGAAGCTTCGATCACAACGTTAATATTTCCCCTGTAAGTTTATGAACTACTCGATCGAGAATCAAATAAGTTAGATAGTTTTTCAACTAATTCATCTGTCATTGTTACTGATCTACAACACTAGATGATCATCTTTCACTGTTTAATTACATGTATAGGAAAGAGCAGGCTTGGAATTCAAAGTTGAACTCCAAAGTGTTAAGTCCAATTTGGAAAAGGCGTTAGCTAAGTTGCCATATGATGATTTTATGTTAGAGATCAAGTAAGAAGAGTTGATCGAACAGTTGATTATATGATTACATATCTTGTAGGAATATTGTTCTGAATCATCTGTTTTGTTAGGTTGATTTAGTGAGAGGTCAACTGAAAGGAGGAGCAACACGACGATATGGAACAATCAAAATTAAATCAAAACTGGTTCCATTGAAAACATATGATGCAGAAAAGAATCCTGTGATTCCAATCGACTTCCTCTGCCCAATCTCACGAGAACTGCTTAGGGATCCTGTTATGGTGTCCACAGGACAGGTGAGTTGAAATGAATGAATAATACGTCTTCTTCTTCCTTCTAGATTTGATTTCTATATTACGTTGCAGACATATGAGAGATCATACATACAAAGATGGATAAATCTTGGGAATAAAACATGCCCAAAAAGTTGCCAAAAACTTAAAAACCTAACTCTCACTCCAAATTATGCCTTGAGAAGTTTGATAGCTGAATGGTGTACAAATCAGAATCTTAAACCACCAAAAAAGATCAACCCAATCGTTGGTAAGACCCAGAGTCAGTCTATTGGAGATCAAAGGGCAGTCGAGTTTAAAAATCGATTAATCTTCACGGTTTTTGGTGCTTCATTCCTCTTGGTATTTTTATTTATTACTTGGTTATTTTATTTTATATATACGCGAATGTCTTTTTGTCATTTGGTGAAGGAAAAAACATCATGACTACTTTTTTAAATGTTTTTAATTGAATATTACATTCTGGTTTGGATTAGATTATTGATGATTATCAAACAAAATTACTTCTAATATTTGTGTTTTTAACTTTTTTATTGTGAGTTTTTATTTTTGTTTTGAAAGACTCTATACATATTAAACCATTGTTGATCATCAAACAAAATTTTTATTGTCATCGTTGTTGTTCATCAAATATTCTTTCTAGGATTAGACTATTGTTGATTATCAAACAAAATTTTTATTGAGTTTTTATTTTTGTTTTAAATATATGTATTTTGTATCGAAGTTAGCATGTTTTTTTACTGCTTTCGGACCCAATTCATCTTCAATGGTAATGAAAAAAAAAGAGTCAAATGAAAGATGTGACTATATTTGTTTTGAGTTGGGTGTCATACTAAAAAAAAGTATATGTTAATAACAAATCATCTAAAAATAACACATCTTATTTTTAATTACAGAAAAAGTTCTCATAATCCCAACCATATCTTGGCATGATCCACTGCCATAAAATGAAGATAGATATTATGATGAATACATGAAGATAATGAGCTTAATGATGCTTATGTTGATGCTTTTTTACCTAAACAATCGATGATTCTATAATTGTTTCGAGTCTCCAAAAAGTTGTTAAAATAAGATAAAACTGCAAAAATAGTCTCTGTGTTTTTTTACCATTTTCGCAGTTTTGTCTTTTACTATACTATAAGGACCATTTTTGCATACATTCTTTTTTATTTTATAGAAGTATTATATATTAATATATAATATTATATAATAATAAATATTTTTTATTGGATTATTAATTTATTTTAGTTGATTTTAAAAAAAAAATTGTTGGAGTAATTTTTTTTTATTGAATTATTATATATCAATACATATAGTTTTTAATATATAGTATTTATATCATAATAAATATTATATTATTGGATTATCAATTTTTTTAGTTAATTTTTGTAATTTTTAATTATTTTTTATTGTATTATTACTTTTAATTAATTATTTTCTTCATATACTAAATGTTGTTTTATTGGATTATTAATTTATTTTAGTTAATTATATTTCTTTTAATTTTTTTGTTGAAGTAATTCTTTTTTATTCAATTATTATATATCAGTACATATAGTTTTTAATATATAATATTTATATCATAATAAATACTATATTATGGGATTATTATATATTACAAAACATTATTTTATTGACTTATTAATTTCTTTTAGTTGATTCTTTTTATAATTTCTTTTTTGTTGGTGCAATTTTTTTATTAGATTCTTATATATCAACAAATATTATTTTTAATATATAATATTTACATCATAATAAATAATACATTATTGGATTATTAATTTTTGTAATTTGTTTTTTTGAATTATTAATTTGTTGAAATATTACTTTTTTAATATAATAAATTTTATCTTATTGGATTATTATTTTATTTTTAATGTATACTATTAATTGTTTTTAATTTTATTAGTTTCACCACAAAGTCGTTGAAATACGTAAAAGTGTCGCTTATCATCGTCAAAAATTGGCAGGATCACCTCCAAACACCTTCATTGGAGGTTCAATAGATACCCTACCCTATTTCACCTAGCGTTGCTGGTAGCCACCTGTGACAACCTCTTCATAATCCACTGGAATCCTTCATATCCCACATAATGCGCAACAAACCCCTATAACATTTATAAGTGGTGGTGGTGACCGAGTGATGGTGGTGGTATTTTCCTTATGGTTTCTCATTATAAGCTAGATGAAATGAAAGTGTTTGGCAGCGATCCTAACGATTTTGATGATAAGAGACGACGGTTTTGCGTATCACATGACTTTGTGGTGGAACCAATAAATTAACAAGAACTATTATTATAATTAAAAATAAATAAATAATCCAATAAAATAATATTTAGTATATGAAGAAAATAATAAATTAAAAGTAATAATCCAATAAAAAATAGTTAAAAAAAATTACAAAATTAACTAAAAGATAATAATAATCCAATAATATAATATTTATTATGATATAAATATTATACATTAAAAACTATATTTATTGATATATAATAATTCAATAAAAAATAATTACTTCGACAACTTTTTTTTTAAAAAGAATTAACTAAAATAAATTAATAATCAAATAAAACAATATTTAGTATATGAAGAAAATAATAAATTACATAATCCAATAAAAATAATTTTATAAAAAGGATTAAAAATATTAACTAAAAGAAATTAATAATCTAATAATATATTATTATGATATAAATATTATATATTAAAAACTATATGTATTGATATATAATAACTCAATAAAAAGAATTACTCTAACAAAATTTTTTTAAAAAAAATCAACTATAATAAATTAATAATCTAATAAAACAATATTTATTAATATATAATATTATATATTAAAAATAATATTTATTAATATATAATACTTCAATAAAATAAAAAAGAATGTATGCAAAAATGGTCTTTATGGTATGGTAAAAGACAAAACTGCGAAAATGGTCCCTAGAGGTAAAATTGTCATTTTGAAAAAGTTAACAGCCAACCAGTTAAACTTAACGGATGAGGGACCAAAACCACAATAAAACTTGTTGAAAAGGACCAAATCTGCAACTTTTCAAACGTTTGGACCATAACCACATAAAATAAGAAACCACGGGGACCATTTTTGCAATTTTGTCTTAAAATAACCATCCAAGCTCCTTTAGTTGGAAGGAGAACAAACTCTATAAACCATGTTGCCCTCCTAGATCGCCACCAAAAAAGAGGAGAAGACCCAGCAATGATATGTAATTTGGAGCAAGATACTCAAACGTCCCAGCTACCATTGTCACCATAGTTGCACCAAGAAATCCCTTCCCAAAAGCCAATTAACAATATATGATACTTAAAGATCAAGAGAAATGAAAATAACGATATATTGGTTAAGGATCTACACACTCAGTATATAGTTATAATTTTCAAAAGCATGGAGTACGAAAATATAACCACCTATTGTTCATGAAGCTTTCAAGACTAAAAATATCAAGGTGAGGATTAGACATTTTAATATGTGCTCTTGCCCAATCAAGACATTAATCTTCTTCAATAACCTGCAAAAGATTAAAGGAAAACATCTTTTCCTTTATTATAAGTTTATCGCTTTTGTTTCCTAATGGAAAATACAACGTGTTCTTCTACTTATTCTTGAAGACAGATATACATAAAAATCTAGGGGGTTATCTTTAAATGAATTTTAATAATATTGAATTTTGAAACTGAAGAATCGATCTTTTTCACCTTGTTCTTTTAGGTGTGCATAAACCCTCATTACTCTTGGTGGATAACACCGAATTTGGTTCCAACAATCTGGTTGTGGAAACTTTAGGATTTTTCCATGCGAACCTTTCACAATCATCTATATATCAATATTTTGAGCCCCCTCCCTCCAAAACTATTCAATTAAAACCTGTTGAGATATTGGACAATATAAAATAAGGTTTTTAGACTTGTCCCGCATTGGTAGAAGGTAAAAAAAAGTTGTGGTCTCCACTCTCCAAGCCTATAAAAGGAGTCTAATGTTTTATTTCAAAGTATCCCAATCAAATACACTTTAAGTATTTGATTCTTTCTTTGGATCGTATCAAAATGTTAGTAAAAACTTTAAAGAGTGTAGGTGTAATTTGGAAGAGGACTGAGAGATAGTTCTCCCCAATTGAGATCCGAACTATCACTTGTTGTCGTCCACAATCAATCAGATCCCTAAACTAGCTCAACTAATCCATACTGGATTCTAAGTAAATCCAAGTGACTATCAATAATACGTAGTCAAATAGTCATTCAAATATTCCGCCCTAAAACCACAATCAAATAAGAACAGGAAGTAGGGCTAAGTCAATTTTCTAATTCTATGTAATTCTAATCACATATCGCTCCCTAATGAATTAAAGAGGCTCCTAGTCATCCTATCATCGCTACGACACTATTAGAGCAACATCAATACCCTTGGAAATAGCAAGCGACCTAAGAGCACAGCTCGCCCACGAATAGAATAAAACTAAAGCAGGTACATAGTTGACCAGAAACGTACCAATCTGTTAGCCTATATATTATTAGCCCACATGTTTGTGGGCCCTTTTAGTCTTTAGCCCATTAGGGTTTTGTCTAGCTAGTATTTATTCTCCGCTTTATTCTTTGTAGCATTTATGCTTTCATTGAAAACCTTATAATTTCTCTCAATTATAATCATATGGCAATGTTATCATGGTATTAGAGCAGAGGTTTGATACGTTGTTAGAAGACTTCGTAGCAGTTTTCTGTGGCACTAAGGTTTGATACGTTGTTAGAAGACTTTGTAGCAGTCATCAGAGCAGAGTTCGTTGTTGCTGATCGATCTCTTGCTGTTCGATTGATTGTTTCCGCTGGTTTGTTACTACTCTCATTCTCAGATTGCTTAATAATTGTTGTGGTTATTTGTTCATTGCCAACATAACTGGAAAGGATGATTCCCTTCATTCAATCAGTACTCGTCTAGATGGAAAGAGTTATACGTATTGGAGTTATGTTATGAAGAACTTCCTTTGTGGTAAGAATATGTGAGGCTATGTCATTGGGACTAAAACCAAACCCTCAGTGCCTCAAGCTGAGAATTTCGATTTGTTGGTTGATGCTTGGGAGACTGATAACTCCAATGTCATTACTTGGATTAATAATTCTGTTACTCAGTCTATTGGCATGCAGTTGGCTAAATATGACACGACAAAGGAAATTTGGAATCACTTGGAGAGACTGTATACTCAGTCCAACTTTGCTAAACAGTATCAATTAGAATATGATATTCGTGCCCTTCAAAATGACCAGAGTATCTATGTTGCTTTGTCTGATTTGTGGGATCAATTGGCTCTTACTGAATCTAAAGAGTTAAAAGATTTTGAGCCTTACATTGCTATGAGGGAAGAACTGTTGGATTAAGTGTTTAAGTCCATAACTATAATTGGTATGTACTTGACTTGATTATGAGCATGGTCCTTTTGGGTTGCTTTCACTCATGCAACTTGATAGGATGACAAGAGGAGAGAGAGTAAGATTTATTATATGAATAATAAATTGGTACTCAAAATGGTTTTATTAATATATTACAAGATTAATATATTATTTGGAAATCATATTATTAATTAGTAATTAATCAGAAATTAATTTTAGGATTAAAGGAACTGATTAATAATTGAGGGACTGTTCTGCAAATCATTGATAGTTGCAGAACTGGGCTGATTGGACTCCTTAATTATGGAGTGGATGAAATCCTATAGGAGGCCCTATAGATTTCGTCCAAGGCCTCTTAAGGAGGTGTCCATGGGCTGCTTGTTGCCTAAGTAAGGTATTAGGGTTTCCACCTGAAAACCCTAGCAGCCACAACTATATAAAGACCCTCTCACTAAGGATTTTCAGCCTATGCATGTCTTATAAGGAACCCTAGCTGAAATCCTTCCCTCTCCAAGTCATCTTGTTGCATTGAGTGTTTATGAC